GCCGATCCCCGATGTCGAGATTGGCGAGGGGGGCGATCGGTCATCGGCGCTGGGGGAGGGCGCCTGCGCAGTACCGCCGCGGCCTTGAGAGGGGCCTGGCCTTGCCGGGAAGCGGAGGCCGTGGGTGGCTTCCCTGGAAGTCGCGGTCCTTGGGAATGCAGGGGGTTCCTAGTTCTGTTGAAGCCGGCTCTTGGTTTTCTCATTTTTTTTTTCACCGCTTCACTATGAACATTTTCAAGTACTATTTAGAAACGAAAGCTTTATGCTCATTTAATATTGTCTAATAGTGTCTACTAATAATTACAAACCCGTCTGATTTTTAAAAAACTTTTATTTTTAAATTTTAAGTCTGGGTTCCTTAAAAAACTTAACATGGGCCTTTTTCTCTAAGATCTTCCATAACAGTACTTCCACTAATAACAGAAATCAGAGAAAAAGCAGAACAGTGACAGAAACCTTTTTTTAATGTATATTTTTTATTATTTAGATAGGCTTTGAGTAGGAGTGGAAATAATGATAAAGGTATAATCACTGCACTAGCTTCTAACATAGTTGAAACGGTTGAAATTGCGGCAGCAACAGAGAATGCCAGACAACAACAACAAAAAGTTGCTATTAAAAAGCATTTATAAAGTTGTGTAGCGTTACCCTTTCCACACACAGCACCAGGATCTCCACGATGCCAGAAAGGCCTTTAAGGCCTCGCCGCGAAGCGGGCACTAAGGGCAGCGGCTTCCCCGCCCGCGGTGCGCATGCGCGCTGCGCCTCGCTCGCTCCCGCCCCGCCGCCCGCAGGGTGCTGGGGGGCCTGCCCGGCGCGGCCGGAGCGCGGCGCGATGGCGGCCGCCGTGGGACTGGCTTTCTCGCCGAAGTCATGCCCCGGGCGGCGGCTTGGAGGTCTCGGCGTGGCCAGTCGGGCCCTTTGATTTGTGTGTCATCAAGAAAGTGGGATCAACCAGTGAATTTAGTAATTCCCGTTGTGTTACAAATGATTTATTACAAGTACTTATCGTGCAGTGATGTAACGCAGCTCCAAGGGTGACACTAAATCTGTAGTTTGTTAGATGTGATTCACTTTCGTTGTCTAATATCAGAGATCAAGGGTGTCCCGATTCTTTTGTCTTAAAAATAAGATTGATTTTCATAAAGGTCTATATTGACTTTTTTATTCTTGCTGTTATTTGGTTGGTTCTGTGGAAGTGTATTTTGTTATGCATATAACTATGTATTAGCTCTAACATGCAAACATTTGAGCACCTAAATACAAATGTGTATGTAAGTACGAGTTAAGTAGTTTCATTAAAATTATGATGTAACTCTTCGGTTATCTCCTTATTCTCCAGCTCACTGAGACTGGAATTGATTATTAATTCTGGCTGTATTTTTTTGCAAGGTGTGATCTCTAGCGTGTGGTGTATTCATGTATACAGTTGACCTTGATGGTATTTTCAAGCATCTTTAGCAGTATGAGCTGCCTCTTCATGTCATTGTCTGCTGGGCCAACCACATGCAAAAACTGCTGGGTAAAGTAGAGGCGTAAAGAATAGTGGGTTCTGGTGCTCACTGTTTCTAAACAGAGAGATGAGAGCTGAAGAACATCGAGAAGAGTTGGAAGAGGAAAGGGGGAACTTTGAAAGCCAGGGAATAAACTTAATAGTTTCACCCCAAGTACCAGGAAGTCTCACATCACTTCTGCAGTGGCCCTAAGACCTCCCATCCTCAGGCTGAGGAAGGAGGATAGTTAGAAAGTTACAAGGTGATCAGGAGGTTGAGTTTAACAGGTCAGGCCCTGCTCACCAAGCAAATTCACATGCTTAAATTACAAACTAAAATTTGGAACCAACTTATAACCTTAATGTTTAACACAGAAGGGCCTGAGTTAAAACTTAAGTCTAATCTCCTATTTTCATGGTATTAATGAAAATAAACTTTTTTTTTAAGCTTTCATGAATCACTAATGTTCCATAGTAGTTACCAAGCTTTTTAATGTTTACTAAATTTCCAAATATAATTAAAACTTTTCATTTCTTCAGATATCCTTATGAAGAAAAATACAGATTAATTCGGATTGGAAATCCAGCATTTTCTACTAGGCTGTTGCCTGTCAGAGGAGCAGTGGAATGTTTGTTTGAAATGGGCTTTCAAGAGGTTAGTATAAGCTGGTTATTGTTATTGTCTTCATCAGTCTTTAAAATTGAAAACTGAACTTTTCTTTTTTTTTTAACAACTCAGTCGCAAGCACTGAATTTTGGGCCAGTTGTTTTCAGTTTTCCTCCCATCTTTGTTTGCAGATGTCAGTAGTTGATCAACATAAAAGTTGACTGAGGCTACTTCAGAAATCATCCTGGTCTAGAGCTAGAACTAACTGATCTGTGATAAGATTGTGGTTTTTGTGTGTGTGTTTGTTTTGGTTTTGTGCTCTTTTCATCCATTACTAATTTGCTTCATGGTTAGACATCCATGTATCCATGCTGGCACAATGGAAGTGGTGGGAGCTCCCAATTTTAGTAGGTGCTGTTAGATGGATGTTCTGCTAAATTAAACTGAATCCTCAGGCTGAAGTTTCCACCCTGTATACTTGTATATGTAAACTATCTTTTAAAGAAATCATCCTGCCCTTTAGCTGCTTGTTCCCATCACCAGTTTAGCTTATGTGGCCATAATAAGTTAGGTAAGTTAACTAATCTGACAGAAAAAAAAACCTGCTTTTATTGTTGTGGGAGACTAATTTTTATCTAAAAAGTGCACAGGTACTAGTGCTGCCATAACAGAAGTGGAGGACAATAGCCTATTTTAGGAAGGCAGGGCTTGTACCCAATTAAAGTTGTTATGAAAAAGTATCCCAAAACAGTTTTAAGTGAGTCTTCTTTTGGTTACAGTCAGAAAGATTGATTTCAAAGACTACCCTGCCTGCTAAAGTGGGCTGTGTCTTGGTAGTATTTGAGAATTGTCAAAGCATCTTGAGCTAGAAGCAGCTTTTGTAGTTGCAGAAGAGCTAAGGTTAAAAATGAACTCTTGCTTTAATGGTACAAAGCTCTAGCTGCTTTTGCTCTTATTTTCTGTCACGCTTCTGTGTGAATGTGTTCGTTCTCTTCCTTAGGCTCAACTGTCATGAAACCTCTGCCTTTTGGTTTTGCAAAACAAGTTATTAACAAAAGTGTGTTATTACAAATTCTTTTTTTCCCTAGATTGGCTGTGTCTTGACAGACCTAACCTGGAGGCTGAATCCTGCCGGGACTTGGCACACCAGCTCTCAGTGAATAATATAGCTGATAAGAGATACAAATCACTGACCAGCTTAGACCTACATTAATTTATGAATTAACTTCTAAATTTCAGGGAGAAACTCACCTGGTTTTCCCTAAGGAAGCATCGATTGAACAGCTACGTAAAGTCAGAGATTTAATTGCTGGAGAGAGAAGTAGCAGGTTGAATGAGTCAAGTCACCTCCACAGATCAAGACCTTCTGAAACTGCAGCCAGCACTCAGGCAGTTGCACGTCAGCCTTCAAGACCTACTGACCCTGTTCTTGCCCCTGCCCATCAGCAGCAAGAAACATCACCTGCACAGCCTCTTGAAAGGGTAATTTTAACTTAAAACTTTGTAGGAACTTTGTATAATCTTGAATATAACCATTGAAGGTTTGACTAGAGGACTAGAGGTTTTCAAGGAGGTTTGACTAGAGGACTATTTTTCTTCCCTCCCTTCCTTCCTCCCTCCCTTTTTCCTTTCCTTTTTTTTTACTACTAGTTTCTAAAGTCTTTTGTAGGTTTTGTTCAGTCTTCATCCAACTGCAACATTAAATGTGCCATGAATAGGGTACTAGTAAGACATTTTGTTGTCTGAGATTCAAAGCAATTTGGACTTTCAGAAGTCAGTTAGGTGGGAAATATAACCCTTAAGGGAGTCTTCGGAGGAGATTAGTATTTATCAGGCAGCTGCCTTAGCAGCCTTTGAGGGTTTAGGCAAACGTTTGTTTGAACGACATCTCCACATCATGAAAAAATATTAGTTTTGGCATTCTTGTGCTGCACTCGGGGCTGCCTCCCCACCCATGATAACCTTTGAGAAAAGAACTCCTGTGGACACTGTAACACAACCATTTAATATAAATGTGTTAGCAGTTGTCTGTAAAATACAGTGACTGGGCCTGTTTGCTTTTGGTTGGTTTGTTGTTTTTTACAATTATGGCTGCTCCTGCCAAGATGTTTGGAAATGATTGTGAAACCTCTAGAATGGCTGCTCTTGTAGTGGTCAGTATTGAGAGTTTTAAAAGTTGTGTTGGGACTTGGATCGACAAAAATATTGGATTGTATTATTTAGGTTGATGCTTGCTGTAGGCTGAAGTTAACTCTTTTCATTTGTAGTTATTTTGCCCTGTCTTGCTAGCAATCAGAGTTGTTGATCCATTTCTCTGCAACTAATATTTTTCTAGGCTTCTTGACGTACAGGATGGGTGGCAGGACTAAACTTATTTACAGCTAGAGACAGCTCAGGCAAAGATCGTGCTCTATTAGAACTATGTTTAGGCTGATCTCTTCAGGGAATTATGCTGATATAACCCTGGACTAGTAGTATTTGGGCTATATAGTCTGAGTTGATTAGAAAGGAGTCCTTAAAATACAATGTTTCCTGCATCTCAGGCATTTTGTTTACATAGGATTAGACGTTCTCAGTTGCAGACTCTCTCTCTCTTTTTTTTTTTTTGGACATTCTCAGTTGCAGACTCTCTCTCTTTTTTTTTTTTTCCTTCTTCTTGCCCTAATGAATATACTGCAGAGCTGTAGGCCTATTATTGTTGTCAATGCCTGGTATCAAATGTCGAAGAAATCTGGATAATTTTGTAATACAAGCATTTTTATTTTATGCCTGTGGTTCCCAGCAGTCTTGGTAAGTCTGAGGAAAAGTGGATTACTTGAGTCAACACAGGAATATATATCTAGATGGCATGGCACTATTTTAGGGAACAAGCCCATCATTATCCCGCCTCTCTTTGGCCTTTTGTGTTTGTAAGGAATTCTTGAGAGTTTTGGGGAGAGGAAAGCTCTGGGTAGTCATTGCTGTGGAGAATGGATTCTGATCAGTTGCTGGCTCATGTGGTGATTAGAGGTTGAGAAGTGTCCAGACATAGATTTACGGTGCTGAGGTTCAGTGCACATCTAGGTGTGTGCCTAGACAGCCTTGGAATACAGGGGGTTCCATTAAACCACAGAGTTGAGTACTGCTGTAATGCAGATGTTGTTTGCCTGTGGGAAAGCTAGAACTGTCAAAGAATCTGGTGGATTCTCTGGTGTGTTGAACCACATCTCTTAATGCTCTTCTGAGATATTGACCAATTTTGAAGGTCTGTAAAGCAATGGTAGCCTCTGACTTCAGCCTGTCTTGTGCCAAGATGCTCATTCTTTGTGCTTTTAGAAGTCCTAGATAGATTTGTCTGTTATGTACAATAGAATATAACACATTCAATAATCCTAGTTGTTAACTTGTTTAGCAAAATTATGCCACACTCAGAGCCTATTGCAACCTGATTTGAAGTTTTCTGGTGGGATTGGAGAGAACACCTATTGCCCAAATCTCTCTCTGTTTTCTCTTCTACAAACTTGCATGGCAGTGGTTCTGAGGGCAGTTGAGTTTGTAGTGTTGAATCAGTTACCTACAGCTGATGAGCTCCAGAAAGAGCAAAACCAGTTTTGACCCATTTCAGCAATTACAAAAAATAAAGACTAGTCCTGTAGTACTGTCCAGCAGCAAAATAATCCAAATTTAGACACTGCTTTAAAAGAAGCATCTTCTGGAGGGTTCTGTCACCTGCATGTTATGTTACATTTGCTACTAGCCTCAGGAAGATACGGCATCTATGATAGAGGAAAGATGGTAATTAAAGAGACTGAAGACTGAAGCATGATCTAGCAGTAAAGATGATTTAGCAACACCACATGCTTCTCAAACAATATGCCAGTTGCATTTTAAAATCCTTTTTCTTTTTCCTTCTTGTCACACCCTTAAATGTGAGTAAATTGTTTGTTTGGCTGCTGCTGCACTGTTAGAAGCTTGAGCTTACTTCAGTAAATCTGCATGTAACTTTTTCAGTGCAACATGTCATTGCCACCGAGTGCCTAAAACCTGACTGAAAAAGCCTAGTCAAAAACATTGTCATCAGAGTGTTTAAAAAATTGTCAGCTATTCTTGGATCAGTTCCCTTTTCAGTCAAGGCACCATTCAGAGTGCTCAAAGATGGCAGGCCATATTCACAGTTAAAGCGGTGATAGTGGTTGCTGCTTTTATTGGTGTTTTTATAAATGCTAATTTATCCTATAAAGAATTCTATAAAGTAACTGTGAGTATGGGATTATGACTGACTCGAAACAGAAATAGGAGAGCTTAGTTCTCCTGCTCAAGATGAGGTCAAAAATTATCTTGTGACTGGAAATCCTTTTGCAGGCTGCAGATATCTTGAAAAAACTTCAAACAAACTTTCAACATTTTGTATTGATGTATGAGAATCCTTCTCTTCAGCAGAAAGCACTAGCTTCAGTTCCCCTCCAAGAATTGAAAAGGAAGGCTCAGAAAAAGCTGGCACAAGCTACAATACTGGATAAAGGTAATGCTACCAAGTTCTGATTTGTATGAAACTAGAAATGCTTTCTCAAACTTTTAAGTGTGATGCATGTGACTACTATGCTTTACAGATGTGAATTAAGTCATACACTTGCAGATGCCACATATGGGCACCAAGTTAGAATTGCCTTTTACCTTGTCTAGCTCTTGTCTACTTGAAATTTTTTTTACTTTTCTCCCTTTGCTTTCCTCCCTTTGCAAGTAGCTTGTGTTACTTGCATTTCATTCTTGTCTGTCCGCTTTCTGCTGCTTTTGTATGGAAAGTTTGAACTCCCAATTTCTAAAGCAGCCATAAAGAATGGTAGAGAATCTAATTAGGTGAGTGTTCACGGTTGCTTCACACTAGATAGGAAGAGTAGAGCAGAAAAGATGGAGGGAAGCTTTTTTTTCTTCTTATGTAGTTGCTGTTCTGAAATTGGAGTGTGATTTCCCTATAAATATTACAATTCCAACTTCAGAATAAAAAATTAAAAGTGCAGTTTCTTATTTAAAAGATAGTGTTGGAAAGAGATTTTGCTAATGACTTTCCCAGGGTGCAAACTGGTATCCTGGATCACCACTCTTGTGAATGTTTAAATGAATAGGTCTGTTCACAGGTGATGCATAAGCATAAATATTTGTGGCAGGCGTAAATATTTGTGGCATCCACGGCTTCTTTTGAACATACTAAGTATTTCTCAGTTGAAAATTGAAATGTTTTTAAATTAACCTATGACACATCTAGCTGTTTGGTACATGAATATAACAAATTTTTATGTGTACAAGGTAAACGTTTCCAAAACTGGACTTCCAGGGCCATATTTAAGCACAAAAATCCTTTTCATTGTAAGTCTTTTCAGTATTTTGGTTGACTGAAGCTATAGGTATAGATATAAGGAAAGGAAAGTGGAAGCACCTAGTGCCCCATATTATGGGCAGTGACAATGTAAAAGTATTTTAAAAGCCTTACAGAAACATTCCTTTGAGAAAGGACTGTATATGAGATGCATGCCTAGTCAGCCCTTTCAGCTTCTTTGTGTAACTGCACTCATGTATTAAAACTGTCACCTGCGGCAATAGCTGCTTTGTACTAGGTGATGCTTGTTTTTTTTTTTAGGTAAACCTCTGCCAGCTGTCAGAGGCTTTTGGGCTCCTAAAGGCCATGCTAATAAAATTATCGTCATTTGAACAAAACTATGGATTTTTGACTTTGTTTCCCTAGACTGTCTTCCATTAGAGAAAAAAAAATCCCATTGAAAATAACGGTATGTTATTGCCAACCATTTTTTGTTGAGAGGGATTACCTCTGTCATGGTTTCCATGCTGTGTTTTCATGAAGGATTTATTAATGAATCACAAGAAGACTATTCATGTAATAATAATTATACTTTCATAGATGAATTCTGCTTTATGCTGTTATCCAGTAGGGAAAAAAAAGTCTTCTAGCAGAAGGTTTGAAGTAAAATGTAGTCATATCCCCTGTATAAGCTTTGACATTTAGGTGTTTAGCACAAGTACATTTTTCATGTATAATATGTTACAATGGAAATTTTACTACAATTAAAAGTCACTTTGAAGTCTCTGGTTTTCTTGTTTTGGTTAGGAGATAATGATCTCTTATTCTTTTTGTGTTCTTGATGGTGTGCCTTTAGTAGAGGTAGTAGCTCAAAGAGCCTTCTGTACCAGACAAGACTGCTTCAACACCAGAGGAAGATTTAAATTTAGCTTACATAATTTCATCATCTAGGAGATTTTTTTGTCCTTCTGAAAGAAGAATTGTCATACAATTTCAGTACAACTTCCTTTTCTTTAAGGTATAAATTCTTCTTACATGTTCATGTTCCTTAGTCAGACCTGTGTTCAAACATGTTTATAAGCAAACTATAGTACATAAAATAACCAGTTTTATTATTTGATTGCAGTATGGTCTTGGCGATGGAAGTAATGAGAAGACTTAGTTGAATGTTTATGAATCTGAGGAGAAGGATCTCTCTGGTGATTTAAGCAGAATATACATTTAAATTAAGGGCTCTGAGGAATTAGAACGCAGAAGGGATGGATTTCTTCCTTTTGGAAGGCTGGATTTTATAATTTGTTAATTAGGTAAAGTGGGATTACTTCCAGATGGTAGAATAGCAGCACTGTGAGAGAAGCTTCAAACACCTGCTGGGGATTCAGGAAATGGAACAGAAGAGTCTGATGTTCAAGTATGGGGAAATTGACTAGAGAGGAAGAAAATAGATGCCCTGTGTCTAGCTTGGGTAGGCTGAATTCAAAGAGGCGCCTTGCTGAAGTTATAAACAAACTTAATTTGTTCACAAAGCTTAATTACTTAATTACTGTGCATATACTTTGTCTACAGAAATTCTGTTCACACTATACCTGATTGGCTAGACTGCTGCTAGGGTCCGATAGTGTGTGTGTTTTAATATCCTGTAAGATTAGGTACTCAAAGCAATTGTTATTCTTAGCTATTGAGCTGAGAATAAAAGCATGCCTAACATGCTGTCTCTTCCAGTGGCCTGAAAGCATGTGAAGGACATCCAGGATTCTCTGTCCATCCAGCTTGTTTTTCTGAACAATCCCTCATCTTCGTTCTAGCTGTGGTGCTCTGGAGTGGAGTCTTTTTGTTCTTTGAAAATACAGTTTGCCATTATCCAGTCTCTAAAATTCAGATTTTCTTCGGTAGTTTTTTGTTCTTTTGGGCAATGTGTGGAACTTTAAAAAATATATAATGAGATTTCTGATGTATAATAAAAGTCCTAATGCAGTATTTTATGCCAAAAAGTTCATGTAAATTGTCACTTTGCCATTTGACTTTAGTATGTTAACTTTGCAGGTGCGCATGTGAACGAAGAAGACTTCTTGCTGTTGGAGCTTTTGAGCTGGTTTAAGAATGACTTTTTTCATTGGGTAAATGAGCTTCCTTGCAGCAGATGTGGTGGGCAGACAGAGCCTAAAGATAATGTGGCAGCTAGTGAGGACGATCTAAGGTGGAATGCCAGCCGAGTGGAAAACCATTACTGCAACCAGTGCCAGTTCTCTAATAGATTCCCCAGGTGAGCACGTGAGGATCTGCTTTGTTTTCCTTGTCTTCAAGAGACAGCTTTACCTTTGTGTATTCTGTGAACAAGCAAGAGTTGTTGGTGGACAAAAGACTAGAGGTTAGGTAATGCAACAGGATGGTGGCTGAACCGTCAAAACCTTCCATAAGCTTTGGAAGTTCTTAAAAACAAAATGATTACTTTCATTTAAGTGGTTTCATTCTGAATACTTGGCTTTTTCTGTCTGTTAATTTCATAAAGTACAGTTTCAAAATATTACAGAATATCTTAATATTGACATACTATATAGGTGGCTTTTCTTACTTTATGGAAAATTAATTTTCTTTGAAAGACTACAATATACTTTCTGGCTGACTCTGGTACACCTTTTGTTGCTGCAGTTCATGGACCATGCTAACTAGCATAAGCAGCAGCTTATAAAGAGCCTTTTCTTAAGATGAGATTTAAGTCAGTTTTCAAAATTGAAAAAAACAAATGAATTTCAGTGCTCCCGTAAGCAGGTGAGAGGCACATGGGAAGTCCAAGTTGCATTCTGCTCACACCTTTGCAGTGTGGCAAGCACTCGGTGTCTTGTGTGGGTTGAGATCTATTCAGGTCGTCACAAGGAACATCATGATGCAAAGGTTAATTTGAAGCAGAATGTATATTCTCTACTAAGGTAAAATAATTTGTACAAAGCGCGTGTAATGAATAAAGTTACTCTGTTCTTCTGATTTTTATTTATTTATTTATTCTTTTTTTCTCCCCCTCCCTAGGTATAATAACCCAGAGAAACTGCTGGAAACCAGGCGTGGACGTTGTGGCGAGTGGGCTAACTGTTTTACACTGTGTTGCAGAGCTGTAGGGTTTGAAGCTAGATACGTGTGGGACGTTACAGGTATCAGTTATATCAGAACATCTAAATATTTGTATAAGCCCATGCAAAGTCAGGCTAGGTATTTTATGGTTCGGAGGTTATAATAGCCAGCAGATAGAATCTAAGGCTTTGTAGCATCTAAGGTCTGATGAAGGAAGTAAATTCACTTTCCACTCTTGCTTGATGGGCTGGAATATGTAAGTAAGGTTGGATGGCTGGTTTCAGAATGATAAAATACTTAGTTGAATCTAAAGGAACGTGATTGTAAGATTACAGCTTTCTTATTATTTCCCTGAATGTAAATAAAGAGAAAATGAGCTCTTTCATGTGTTCCTTCTTTTAACAAATTGTGAAAAGTTACAGTATTTTGGACTGTTAAAGAAAATCTATCTTTATAATTCATTGTGTCCTCTTGGACTTCATTGTATAGATCACGTGTGGACTGAGGTATATTCTGCATCTCAGAAAAGATGGCTTCACTGTGATCCCTGTGAAAATGTCTGTGATAAACCTCTTCTCTATGAAACTGGGTGGGGAAAGAAGCTCTCCTACATAATTGCTTTCTCCAAAGATGAGGTAGGAGTGATTACATTAATAAAAAACAAGTTTGCCCTGAAGCATGAATGTGAAATAGTGTGTGTGAATGTAATTTCCAGAATTATTAGAGAAAATAGGTGTTGATTAGCAAGCCTCTTTAAAGAAAGTAATACGTACAGATTTTTTTGATTTGCTTTGTTTTCTTTAATTTGTGCTTGAGGTTGTTGATGTCACCTGGAGATACAGCTGTAAGCACGAAGAAGTGCTCTCTAGAAGGACAGCAGTCAGTGAAGCCACACTACGAGAAACAATTAACACCCTTAATAAAAAGGTATGTAACAATTTTATTTGGAAAAGCAATTATTTTTTCACTTAATAGGTGAAATCTTTGAATACGGGAACAACATTTTTGCTTTGTAACCTGATGGAAATGTCCATGGGCTATAGAATATAGAAATATTGCTAACTGTACAATTCGTACTTTACATGAATAATGAATAAAGGATCAGTCACAGTGCTGAATTTCTGTGAAATAAGATAAAGAGTGATATGCAAGAGGGTTAACATATTGTCCCATACACAATCTGTTGAATCTAGTATTTTTACTACTTCTGTTTTTAGTCATAATGACTTTGTACTATTTTTAATGGCATTTGTGTATTAACAGACACTCGGTAAACAACAGGTGTTTTGCAACTGTGCCGACTCCTTGGAGGCAACTAAGCATTCTTCCCATAAATAATGCTGTAATGTGAAAACAGAAACATATACAGGTGTAGGAAATGCGGGATGAATTTGTCCTAGATGACTTTTGACAAGCTGTAGGAAGTGAGGGATGATAATTCACAAGCTGTTTTGAGTACTTGCAGGAAATGCTGATGCTGTCAGCAAAGCTTTGGCTGAGTGCATTCCATAGCTTGCTGCTAACAGAAGCTTTTCCATCCCCTATCTAGGGCAGGCTGAATGCTTTTGGCTGAATGTACTAGAATCCCATAAAACCTTGAACCACTTGTCTCATTCAGTTTGGTCCTCCCTTCCTTCCAGGGCTAGGATTTGTGCTTTTCTGTGTGTTCATTTGTACAGAAGTTTCTGTTTCCTATGACAACATGCAGCTAATGGGTTAATAAGTAGACCATACCTTTTAAGAGGCTTGCTGGCTTACCAAGGCTGGCAAGCACATGCTGAATAGGGTGGGCAGAGTTGAACTTGAGTCATGACCTCAACGAAACCCTCTTTTATCAATGAGAAGTTAGAGCTACACAGAGAGGAGTTGAGCACTGGGAAAGTTGGTTACAGTTTAGCCAAATGAGGCAAAGGGTCTGAAGTTCTAGTCGAGCGGTGCAGGCACTTTCTGAGGAGTTTCAGGTTCACAGAGCAGATGTGAGGGAGCTTCTTGCTCATCTGTTGGAGTTGGCAGCCTCCAGTACTGGGCTCCTGTGCTCCGCAGCCTGGTCTAGGAAGAGAGCCTCGAGGAAGTAGCCATTTCACAGCCATGTGAGCAGGGGCCACGTGGGGCTGCGTTAGTGGAAGGTTATGATAATATCGATGGGATCAGGAAGGTAAATGCACCACACCTGGGGGCTCATCTGCCCTGCTTGTCTAACCTGAATTCCTTGTTTTCCTCTTATCTCATGGTTATTGATACATGAGGTGAAGCAGCATCCATGTTAATGGAATAGTTCAGTGCTTGATTCCTACCCTCAAATTACCTGTTGCTTACACACCAGTAAAAGACAAGTCCATTTAAACCAAGGCATCGATCTCCCAGAAGCAGAGTCCTACAGGAGAGAGTGTGAGATGCAAAATTGATTTTATAGCTTCAGTTCACAATTGGTACTCCTTCCCTGTCCTCTTCTCCTTGCAGAAAGATGAGGAGCAGATGAGCAGTTATGTACAGAGCAATACTGTATTTTAAGAAAAAACAAAAGCAGAAAGTTTGAGCCATGGAGTTGTTTAATTCATTTGAGTACATGAATGCTATTGGCGACACCATAATTTGCAGAAAATAAGCCACACCTTTTTCAGTATATACAGTGTGTGAGCATTATGCATATCGTTATGTGCTGCTGGCATTTATATGCAGGAACCTACTCTGGGAAACTACAAGAATTAGCACACTTGTGCTCTTTGCAGTTGAAGAGTTTGCTAGCTTCTGGCACCACATGTAGCATCCTTCTTGTTTAGAAGAACTGGTTTTTGACCACTTTTTCACATGCATTTGTGACAGCTGCAGTCAATCCTCAATAAGCCATCGCAAGGCTGAGGGGTAGTAACCCCCTATTCTGAGCTTTCCAGTTTCAGCAGGGTTAGGAAGAAGATTTAGAGTGAAGTTGCTAACTTAGGGTGTACAACATCAGATTTTATCTGAGGTGGGTTGAGATCTGTTCTACTAAGTAAAGAAAAATGCTAATAAAATATTGATACCCAGATACACAGGCAAGTAGCATGAGGAAGTCCTGAGGTTGCTGCTAGTCTTCGTCACTACCAACAGAACTGTATTTCTACCATTGCTGGAGATATTTTTTGTAATTTCCCTATATCTACTTCTCCTTATCCTATTCCACTTTTGCCTGGAACAGGTATTTGAGAGGCTTTTGTTCTTCTGCTCCTTAACAGAAAAAAGTTTGGTGCCCAGGATTGCTGTTGAGATAATTAGGAAACCTATTGGCCTGAAGTACCATGTCCTAATGAGCAAAGCATGCAGGCCTTGGGAGGACACCAAAGTGGAGCTGAAAGGGTGTCACTCCAGAGCATAATTACAGATGAGTGTTTCTATTTTGTTTGTTTTTAAATATAATTTCAGAGACAACAATCTTTGTCAGAAACCAGAAGAAGAGAGCTCCTGGAAAGGACAATCGTGGAGCTTGTTGAGTTCATTTCTCCTAAAACCCCTAAACCAGGTGAATTTGGTGGAAGAACATCAGGTTCAATGGCTTGGCGAGTAGCCAGAGGCGAAATTGGCTCTGAGGTATTTAACTTTCTTTCAAGGGGCAGCCAGCTTAAGGGTAGCTCATTAGTGGTTCCCATGTGAGGATTTCACAAGGGTCCATGGTTCAAAAAATGTTTGGGAATCGCTGATCTAAAGTGTGTGATCTGCACTTACAAGTTCTGTTGACTAATAAGTGGATAAGAAAGTTTTAAAGTAGTTGTATGCTTTGAGGAAAACTTTTAAAGTATGGTTTTATTGTTAGTTAAGCCTAGAAGCAGTTATCAGCCAGCTGATAAAACAGTGTAGGAGGAGTCGGGATCATGTAAATGGAACTGCTTCTCAGTAATTGATTTTCATATCAAAGTTGCTATTTCAAAAAGATAGGCTTATTTTAATTCTTTACTGCTACAATACAGTTTCCCAGAATCTTAGCCATATTTAGCTTGAGCCAGGATGCAAAGGTGTAACATACTCCATCAGTTTGTGCATCAATTTTGACATGACTTTGTCATGTAGAATAATTGACAATTCTAAGTAGAACAGATTAGGTGAAATTAGTAGGTTTCCCAGAACTGTTTGCGGAATTAAGAGTTTAATTTCAACTCTCCATAGTTCAGTTCTGTCTTGTTGAATCTCCTAAGAACAATGACATATCGTTAAAAATATATACAGTACCATAGAGTTATGGAGTTTACCTTTTTTGAAGCTGTTCTGTAAATTATCCTATAAAAGCATCTATATATGATAGTCACAGAAATATACTTGGTATTCTGAATAATCATTTGCTTGTTGTTTGTACAAGAAATACAAATTTTCTATTTCTAGCATGTTAGTCTCTTTACTTAAACTTGATAATTTTATGTTATTTTCCTAATTACTTGTAAAAATTATATCAATTTTAAAGTAAATTCGTGTTTTCTTTTTCTCTGGAAATGGTTTAGATCTACTGTGGAAAGCTAGTTTAAAAATGTATTTGTTCCTTTATTAGTGACCTATTTTAAAAGTCAAGATTGTTTTCAGGTGACAGCAAGACTGAATTGTGAATGCATGCTAATTGAAAGTAACAGTTCTTTTGCAATATATCGGGGAATAAAGATGCTTGTATTTTTTGCATTTTTCAGAAGAGAAAAGAAATAATTTTCATTCCCTCTGAAAAAGAGAAGACATCTAAGCTCTTTCACCTGACCTACAATGTGGTAGAAGATAGTTACACACGGATTTCAAATAACAATGAAAAAATAACTGGCTGGGAAGCAGGTGTTTGGAAGGCAGAGTCTATCTGGAGGAAGGTTGAAACAGATTGGAAAATGGTAAGGGTAACAATTCTAAAATCCTAAAACCTACCATAAAAGTATGATAGCTCCTATCCTGTGCCTATATCTGACAGCAAAACTCATTTCATTGCTTACAAAATTTACTTTAAGAGAGTAACTGTTATTCTTAAGCTTGAGAGAAGATTGCCAGTTGATACAAGAAACTGGAAATAGTTACCTTGCCTTTCAGCAAAGAATGACTAAATTCTCTGCAGATAGCAGAAATCCCTGCTAGGGGACCGAAGTTAAAAATCTGGCTTCCTCTTTACGCTTTTGGACAGACAAAACTTTCATTAAAAAGAAATGCTTCCAAAAGAAGAAATTTTCCTTCTCAACATTATATTTCCATCAGCAAAAAGGCAGATTGGTTACCCAAATCATGGGATCATAGAATCATAGAATGCTTAGGGTTGGAAGGGACCTCTAGAGATCATCTAGTCCAACCCCCCTGCATACGCAGGGTCACCTAGAGCACGTGGCACAGGGCTGCGTCCAAGCGGGTTTTGAAGATCTCCAGAGAAGGAGACTCCACAACCTCTCTGGGCAGCCTGTTCCAGTGCTCTGTCACCCTCACTGTTAAGAACCTCCTCACTCCCTCCCTTGAGGTACTTATATACACTGATTAGATCCCCTCTCAGCCTTCTCTTCTCCAGGCTGGATGCTTTGCCCAGACTTCTTTCTATCAGTCAAGACACTGAGCAGCAGCAGAATCACATGCTCCAAATTGAAGAAGAGGAGAGTTGATGCCTGTGAGATGAGAAAGGGTCATTTGCTAGCAAACACTATTGCTTTGGTCCCTATCATCTCGCTAGCCTGAAAGTTCTCTGGCCAAATTCTGCTAGCTCAAGCAAAGGTGTGCTTTGTGTTAACAAAACATGAAGCTAGCTGAGTCTCTTCTCAAGTTTTCTTATTGGGCCTATAAGTAACTAACTAGCAAAATGTTACAGGGGAATAGCTTTTAGAGGTTAGTCTACCATTTAAAAAGCAGAAGAAAGGAAGAAACTTGAGAATGATATAAAAAAGGGATACCGCAGAGTAGGCTAATGACCAAAGAGAAGTAAGGAGAAACAGCTGTTCCTTAGGTTCTACTAAAACTGTCATAGCACATCATGGTCTCCAGTGATCAGTCCTCCTCGCTTTGGCAAAAAACATACTGTCCTTGCAGTGAAATCGCTTACTGGTCTGCTGCTCTACTTGGCTCTACTAATCACCTGAAACAGGGAAGCTTTGATCTGCAGGAGCAGGCGTTAAGACTACCCTTACGTTCAACAGTACCTCCCTTTTTCTGGATAAAGGATAAGAGAAAGGCCCTGAGCTTGTGACAAAGACAAGATAATTCTACAGGAGTAGCATCTGCTAGATGCTGGTATATGAACTTGAAAGGAAATTTTGTTGGAGAGGTTTTTATATTTGGGGAGGCAACAGAGGGAGAGGTTATTTGAGGTTTGCATGTTCTTAAGACCACTAAGATCTTCAAGGTTTTAAGATATGCAAGGTACAGATATGGGTTTTGATTCAGCAGCTATTCAAGATCCCTTCCAGCCAAAGGAGCCTTCATGAAAATATTTTATGTATCATTTAGTGTATGTTGAATGGAAAGGAAAACAGATGTGAAAGCCACAGTAATGGGTAACTCTAGGTATTAGTTCAGGAGTAGCAGAAAAGTATCAATTTCAGCTACATCTGCTGGTCTTAGCCAACGTGATAGCTGTATCCTCCGTTGTATTTGTATATTTCCTTAGTATAAATACGTCTCCTACCATTATGGCAAATGGCTGCAAAACACAAATTCTGTGAGACTGATTACCCCCAATAACTTGAGATTTGGGCTAAAACAGGCCACAAGAAGTGAGGTAAGAGCTTGTAAATCTTAAACCCAATTATTTTTTAAAAGCTTTTTTTTTTCCTAGAAGAATTCCTTCCTTGGAAGTGAATTTGAACTAGCATTTTTATTTATTTACTGGATTCAGACCTTTTTTTTTTTCTTTAAGTAATGCCAGCAAAAGGTTAGCCACATGGTACATCTGTTAAGATTATATTATATACTCAAATGAAAGCAGATTCAGTTGTTGCATTTCTCAAGGTACAGATTAGTGTAAAAACCCACTTTTAAAAAAAAATTCTTTAATGTGAGAATTATTTAGTCGTGAGTAGTGATACAAAAATTTTCTTCTATCATCTGTGGATGATGTTTTCTGTATTAGGATGGGATCTTTAATAAAACATATTACTATTTTATTATCATCTTGCAAGAGTTGTTCTGTCCAGATTAAAAACTAAGGAATTATCAAAGTCCTTTTAGTGTAACATTAATCAGAAGCTGGAAATGACAGTAGACTTTTGATAACAGTTTTCTTTATTAAGGATTCTGGAAGGATCATGGCAGTTTTGACACTTAAAGCTGTAATGCCCATTTTATTGGTTTGCTGATAAGGGGTGCAAGACTTAAAAGTACCATCAAAATCTTATTATAAAAATGTATGAGGGTTCATAGTGACTCTTTAGTGAATATTAAAATATGAGTTTGACTATTCAGCCAAGTGAAGTTTAGATCAGCATTGATACTCCATTAAATTATGCAAATCTCTTAACAGCTTAAATAATGTTGTTATGGGAGTTATATATGGCTGGCGTGTACTGTGACTTGGTTTAACGAAGACATGCAAAGTCCCAGGAAAAGTGGTGTGCAACCAGCTGCCACGGCTGAAGAATCCAAAATCCCTGGTGGCTCTGGGACTGCTGCTGAAAAGCTATGCAGCCAGAATGAAAAGCAGTGACTGCCCTGTGGATTTATGCAAAATATAACTCTGCCTGTCTAAAATAATAAACTTCATAAAGTCTGAGCCACAGGAATAACTGAGCTTGTTGAAATAGTCTGCTGTCTTCTCTGGTGAAGGACATGCATCTTCCTAACTAAGAAAAAGCTTAAGGATTCAGAGGCAAATTGTAAACAAAATTGTACTATGTGCAATTTTGCTGTTTCAGGAACTTTAGAAAAATAAAGGTGTATTAGCTTAAGATTTGCTCTCTTTGTTGATATCTTTGATTAACTAGATGCATGTTGACCATTGCCCTTTAGCCATGCTTACTGTATCTTCTTTCCCTTTAGGTTTATTTAGCCCGAAAAGAGGGGTCATCCTCTGCTTCAATCAGCTGGAAGTTTGAGTGCAAGTCAGTCGGTCTAAAAATAGATAACATATCAATTAGGACAAGTAGTCAGACATTTCAAAGTGGAAGAATCAAGTGGAGGGCGTACTCCCCCACAGCAGAGGTTGCTCTGCTAGGAGGTAAGGAAGGAATTAAAATAGAAATGAGTAATAGTGGGTAGCATAAGTGCAGCAAGACAGAGCACAGTTAGCAGCAAGAACATAGACTGAATAGAAGATGATAATGTTTTTTACCAGGAAGGACAGATGTTTGTATGTGCGATGCCCTCATTCTTGACTGGGTCCTCTGAGCGCTACACAAATAAAATGCAAAATTTGTAAAATTTGCTAAATGCTTTATTTTTTTAATTTGCATAAATGTTCATTACAAGTTACCCTTAAACATGCATTCTAGCATTAGATGTTTTCTAATCTTCTTTCTTCTAAGCAGAAGCTTATTTGTTTGTTTATTTTTTCCTCCAATAGATAAAAGTCTTTGCTCCTATTCAGATTTGTCTGGTTCAACAGAAGTAACATTGGAAGCAATCCTAAATGGAGGGGATGGGCAAGCTGCATGGCAACATACCCAGCTCTTCAGGGAGAACCTAGCAGGAAGTGGAGAGAATTGCTTGGAGGTAATTATAAAATTTGCTGACCTGTGAGAACCAAATCAGAAGAGATGTTCTTTGGATTCCCCCAAGACATTATGCCATGGGTACAGCACAGAGATTTCGATTGCATTTCCCATGGATCCTGTTTTGCATCTTCCATGTAACCATCTGGAAACTGCACGTGTATTGAATAGGTAAACATCACAGTGGAAATGTTCCTGGTGAAAACAAGCAAACCAGCAAAAGTTGAAAGATAAAATGAATACCCCTTTCCTTATCTATAATGAAGAGGAAACGGTATGGAGAAAGCAAAACATGAGCATAAGAGCAATTTTGATTTGGAGTTTTGGGATTGGTGTGTTGTTTTTTTTATAATGTACTCTTTGAAATTACTGTTGGAGTAGATCACAACAGATGCAGATGTGATGATTTTAAAACATTTTAATAGACTAATAGAGATTTACTTACATGTTTTAAAAGAGATGATTTTATATAATAGGCAGAAAAGCTGACAGATAAATATTTAAGCAGTCTTAAAATGATCTTGTTATATACTCAAATGTTAAACTTGGGTTTAATACCCAGATATATTTGGAAGTATGATAATGTGGGAAAATAAATAAATTTTGAAAAAAGTGTTCGTTATGTATCTAAAACTTCTTTCATGGCCTGCAATATGAAACAGAGATTTAAAACAGGATAAGAAGATCAGAATTTTTCTCTGAAAAAATAATGTATATATTTTTATGATATAAATTCAAATTTGTCCAACTTTTAAATGAAGCAATAAAATGAACGTATAGATTAAAATCACTTTTAAGTTATCGTGTTAAATTGCATTGAATACTGTTTCCAAATTTGATGTAAAAGCATATAGAATTCGTATATACAATATACAATCTATGCTTCCTTACAGTGTTTAAATATCTTTGCACTGAATATTACAAAAACTACCATCCAGGGGATCCAGTTTTGATTTTAAGTCAGATGTAGCAGCACTGTGATTATAGTAATCACCTGTGGAATACTCAGATTAGGTAGTTCTTATGACAGAATGTGAAGAAAACTGTGGTTGGATGGTTGGATTGTCAAAAGAATTTTTCTGCTATAGGACTATAATACAAAGTTTGAACTATAGTGGGGTTTTAAGATTGAGGATGTTCTTAAGGTTAGTGTCATTAAAGGGTGTTTTTTTTTCCTTTCCGGATATTGTATTGATTTGAAATGGCTATTGAAAATAATTTCCATTGAAATAAATGTTTGCTGACTTTTCAACAAATCTAAGCATATATAGGAATATTCACTGTGCATAGACAGATTCCCAATAAAACCTGAACACAGCCACCAAAATTATGCCACAGATATCAAAAAAACAAACCAAAAAACCCTCTATGATGGCAGCTCAGGAGTGATATCTTAGATATGATAGGTTATATGCTTGGTTTCAAATATACATTGACACTTTATGAGGGATTGGAAATACAGTCTCACTCCTGTATACAGAACAACTAGGTGACAGGGAACTGAAAGGAATGGTGTTGATCTACACTGACTAGTGCAAAGTAAATTTTCCATTCCATTTCCATTTCCAATTTTCCATTCCATCTCTATTTAGTTTTAGCCAAGTGCTGGTTCTGCGATCTTGGGTGGGAACGCAAGAAAATAGTATTTAGTGGAGCTGTATCCTGCATCAGAAGGAAATGGGCCCCCAAAACCCTTAGTGACGCCAATCAACAGAATTATGTTGCTTCGTAATTTTAATAGCTTAAAACGATAGCGCTTTAAGCTAGGACATACTTTTATTTGATTACTTAATCTATGAAAATAGAAGGCTATTTAGGAATTACAGAACAGCTTAAGTGCATTTGGTAATTTGAAAGCAGAAGGCAGAATAAATGTAACAGTAGTAAGACGAAAGTAATTTTCACTCAATTTTGGTCAGAATCTCCGGGGGAAAATAATAGCTGCGGATAACTTAATAAAATCATCTCCACTTGAACACTGCAGTAGTTAGAGTCCATTATTAAAAACTCTGAATGAATTAGAAAGATTGAAAAATGCTTCACCAATCTAATTAATCAGCAAATATTTCTGTCCTTGTAAGATTACATGCAATGAATAAAAGTGCTTATGTTAGGAAAGAATTAATGAGCAAAACCCAACGACTGAATAAACCAAAGCTGTGAAAGTTAAATGGAACTCCTCAGGTTTCTTTTGAAGTATCTTTTCTACAATGACTATTTTGAGTCTCTTCATGCATAAAACTATTTAAAATGTACTTATTTTCTGATATGTATTTCAGTGCAACTCAACTATTAATAGTTTTAAATTTTTTAAACCTGAGATAGTTCTTCTGACCTAGCTCTGTTTCATGGATGTTTGCTCAATAATAATTTGCAGTGTCTTTAGCTGGCAATATAGAAAGAAAGGTAGAAAGGTCTGTGCCGTGATGTGCATTAAAAGTGCAGGTATATAGTTGTGCTCACACTTCTCTGTGTTACTGGTTGAGTTGTTGGAGATACTGTCGGTGCTTACTCATCTTCTCAGCCCCTTGGGGAAGGGGAAGTTAGATGAGAAAATAATAGTGTTTCCTAGGAATGTATAGCTTAATTTTAATATAGGTAAGACTAGAGATGTTTTTTAGAAACAGGTACACTTTGGAGAACTATTAGCTGTCCCTATACTCAGGTGGCCCTCCAGAGTTGCATTAAGAGGGAACAGTGAAGGCTTTTCACACAAGCTTTACATAAACACTGAACTGACCCCTTGATGCTTGCAAACTAGTTCTGAATTGCATGGTTTCTGATAGGATTATGTGAGAGCCTGTGCAAAGAATTCCTCCTTTCACACAATTATTTATTTTACTGCACTGTTGTTTTCTCTCTGTAGTTGGACGTATAGTTGTTGTCCTTTTTCTTCGTATCCCTTTTGATTGAGGGCTGTGTGCAGAAGAGCAGCCACTAGTGGCACCTCAAGGAATCATAGTAGTAATTGCCTGTGCCCCAGGAGGTGCTGGGGAAAATGTATCTTTGAAGCAGATGATGTGAAGAAAGCCTGTTGTCGGCAGCGTGGAGAGTGCAGATATGCAAGACTGGAGTGCACAGACCTCGATAGAAATGATATATTTGCAATGAGAAGTAGGTAATGAAAATTATCTCACTGGATCCTGAGTGCTAATCCGTCACCTTTACTCATCAGTCATCCACAGAAGATTTTCGTGTGCAATGTCTTAGATGTGAGATATAATCCCTATTATGTTCAACATCGGGAAATGTAGAACACTAAAAATAAAATATGTGTGTGTCCATAGCACAGTGGAATGAAAACAGATGGCAGGCGGCACATATGGCTGCCAGAAGCTGGGAACACCCATTTGCAGAGTTCCTCCAGCTCGAAGCAAAACAACACAAAACAAAGGAACTCCGAGGGGGACAGACTATGCCAGGCACATAGCAGGATTTCTGTCTTCTTCCCCACGCTTCCCCTTGCTCTGTCTTTGCAGCAATTATTTGGCACTGTCGGGGTAGGTTCAGCCTTGTTTGTGCTCGTGCCTTGCAGCTTGGGGCTTCTCTCTTGTTGTTTAACCGTCAGTGCTCTCACACTCACTCATGGTTGCTGCGGGTAGGGTGAAAATGGTATTTCATGCTGATCTTGAGTACCTAGCCCAGACCCGAAGTAACAGAACCAGGTCATTAGTGCAGTTTCTTCTTCCCTGAAGGCAACAAGGAGCCAGAGGGGCAGGATTTGAGGGCCTCCCGCCCCATAACATGGTGTTTAGGAACGGCAAAGTAACAAACCAAGGTCAAACAGCCCCAGACGTTTGTATTTTAAGCACACAGATACAGTGCAACATCTAATAAGCTAAATGTGACTACGTCTGCCTTTCTGAAGAAAGTAAGGCTTTTTATCCTTTGTTTAGATTTTTACGTTTATTTTTGGGCTTTGTTTTTTATGGTAAGCTTTGTAATTAAGCTATTCGCTTAGTTTATGATTAGCCCGCTTTGGTTTCTGTAGTTTTATCTTTTTCTACACATTATCATCTGATTTAAAATACATTTTAATTGCTTTTACTTTATACAGAGGATTGCATGGTAAATACACTATGACAAAAATCAAGCTATTTTCTTTCTTTTTTTTTCCGTAAGAGCAGACAAAAATGATGGATTAAAGTTCAAACTCAGCAAAAAAGCAACAGTAATTAGAACTGATAACACTCATAAACCAACAAAAATAGCAGGGCTTACTAACATTTAATGGGAAAAGAAAATGTAATGGACTACTTATGAGCCTAATACTGGCAAAAGTAACTTTCTTGATTGACCATGATTTTTAGATATTTTTCTACTTGCTCATTTATATTTAACTGCCTTTGGAAATGTCCAGTAGAAGAAAATATTCTATTTAATTCTCTTCTAAAGGAATGTTATCACTGATGGTTTTTTCATTGACCAGTGTTGAGCGCTGCTGAAGAGAGTGGAAGGAATGAGTCTGAAGAGCTATTTGCATCTGCTGTGCAGCTGGGCTAAGTACTGCGTAGCCATGGCCCTCTGCTAGAGATCTTACAAATGGCAAGGAAAAGATCGTTTCGCTTTGTATTTTGAATGTAATGTTTCAAAGTATGTTCTGTTAGTTTTGATCTTTCTGTCACATAATGCTGTGTTATTATCGTTCTGTATCCTTTGAACTTCAGTCGTTTGACTTGTATCTCCCATGTCCTTGAAGTCCCAGAGGAACATATTTAACGTTTCTGAAAAAATCAAAATCATCTATTAGCAGCTGACCTCCGTCACAAGCAGAAGGAAATGCTGCATGTATTTTAGATGCGCACTTCATATAACAACATACAGAAACCAGCTGGTGTGAGAAAAGGAGGCACCCGAGAGCGATGTTTAAACAAGCTCTTGCTGAGGTCAGTGGAACAATTCCTCACAGTCTTTTAGAGCAGATGGAAGAAAGAGCCTCTTCCTTCTGCATTGCTACTCTGGTGAGAAGGATACAAGGTAATGTAAAGCGTGGGTGTGCTTGCATTATATCAAAACTCAAAATGATAT